GCATTATAAAACTTCTAGTTTCCAGTTTCCCAGTATGTATCAACTTTCCATCGCCTTTCTCATGGACCATCCATCCCACACTTCCAATACATGTATCAAAATGCTGGCTCACTTTCTTGGAAGATTTCAGAAAACCATCCAGAAGTAATGCTTTGAATTCACTTCTTTTTTTAAACTCCCATGTTATACTATATTTTATTCCATTAGCCCAGTAGAGTCAACTTAGCAGGGTGAATGTAGAGTAGCATCTACCTATATTCAAATAATATCAGGGCTTGTTCCCCTTGAGCAGAGCAGCAAGGGAGGAAATATGCAGTCTGACTGAATGGTAGCTGGATGGCAGTGCTACTAGTTAGCATCTTCTGGCTAAGATCCGCACAAGGTATTATAAACAGATTATCAGGACTAAAGTTCAAAGTTCAACCATGGTATGATATACAATATTAATTGTACATAATTTATTACATTGATTTCTTATAGATATAAATAGGTTAACTTTTATTCAGTTATAATGTATTAATATTAATTATAATAATGTACTATTTGATACAATATAAAATTACCACACATCAAAGGCTGGTCTTGACTGATGGTAATGTAAGTAGTCTCATGCCTTCTGCACTACACAAGGTGCTATTCTACTCTAGCTGTACAGTCAGCCCCACAGTAACAGCAGCAGGATAATCTAGACTGTTAATTTCCATCTTTATAAAAAAAATTGTCTCTTAGTAAATCCTCGATTTTATTTTCTTGGTAAAGTATGCTCATTTTCTATATGGAATTATAATCACTTCTAGCAGGCACCACATCATAGTATTCATAGGCTTTACGAAAACCAGATTCAGAAATCACACTTACTAACTATATTTTTCTGTGTATATGTAATGGAGGTTCAGTGAATAACATGTTTAATGCAGAGAATTATAGATGGCTTCAGAAACGAGAAGCAACATGAAAATAACCATGTGGGTCTCCTAAACAGAACGTAGGCTGGCTTTAAGCATGTACATGAAAAAAGCTATCATCTGAAAGAAAAAATTCTTTCCTATGCATGTGGAAGTATCCAAAATTTGTAGGCATTTTACTTTCACCTTTTGTAAATTATCTAGCAGCTAGCATTTTTCTTTGCTTGTTCTGAACTGCCTTGATTTGAGCAATGAGGTACTTTGCCCACGCTGAAATTCAGGAATGAGGTGGCCCAGAGAACATCTAGTGAATGCATTCATAGCATTGTGCAAGCTATTCACATAGGGCTCCCTGAAAATGCCATTAGAGTGACTTCATTTTTTAAGTGAAAATGGTATAGAGCTGCTGTAGTGGAGAAATTCATGTGGCTCAGGAGGTGAAGGGCTTGTCTTCTGTGTATCCCGTACCCTCGCTGGAATTCAAGCCTGCGTCTCCCAGGAGAATGCACCAAGCACTGTCGGGGACTAGTTTTAGTACAGGCTGGGTGGGAAAACTGCCCACCTTCCTTCTGAAGCCCTTACTTAAATGAGTGCAGCTTATGACACAAGAACTCAAGGACTGATAACTTTGTGGTTCAATAACTGTATTGTAGATGAGTTCTGGTTTCCAGTCTGTTCCCAGGACTAATCTTGTTTTAATCCAGTAACACAGAAAAACGGTATCTATATGTTGGTGAGTATCCTAACAATAATGATATAGAAGTATTTTTGTCCATATCTTTCTGATAGTGTGAATTTTTCCTCACTTTCTTAATATCTGCCTAGAAAAGAAAACAGTGAATAAAGCATTTCGATGATGAGCTTCCTTTCGGTTCTTCAGAGGGTGCTGCTGTGCAGCTTTTTCATATGAATCCTCAGGCATGAAATTATATATTCTTAATTACATGTGTCACAGCTTTTGTGTAAGAGCACTGCCACCTCCATAGCTCCAAGACTGTTTTGCGTTGTTCCCTCACTTGACTGCTACTGTTTGGAAACAGGGTCCAGCTTTTCCGTACACTTACTGACAGTTTTAAACATGCTGGAAAAGCACTACGGAAGGATGTCTATTGCCCATCCCGGTGGATGTCTTACTTTCTTGCTCAGCGCCTGGCGAGGCAGCTAGCTTTTGGCACAGCACTCGTTGCAGCCTGCGACCTCGCAGCACCAGCCGCGGCTCTGCCTCCGCTCACACCCGCAGCAGCTCCTTTCCTCAGAGCCCTCCGCACGCTCCACTGCTGGTCACTGCTCTCCTCTGCAATCTGTCAGCACCGAGCGGCCCCAAACCCAGGGCAGCAATGACCAATTCTGCCTTTTCCACAGCCCTCAGCCTGCCGAGTGAGAAATTATCTTACTCAAGGGTAGAGGGGTGACCGCTGAAGGGAAAGGCTGTCTCAATCCAGAGTTTCCTAATAGGGGAAAGTCCCCCAAATCATATTTTCAGATTATTTTAATGCAACCATCATGTGATATCTATACAGGGGCTTAGCTGCATTTTGCTCAATGGAGTCAGCTGCTGGTCTTCTGTGAGAAATATGGTATTCTGCCCGGAGTGGTGCGGAGCACGGTGGCTGTTGGCCTAAAATAAACACAGTGCTCAGCTCACAACCCGCCTCGGGACGCCAGGTGGAAACATTGTGGAAAAGCTGCCTGCTGCCTGCGAAGCACAACAGCCTCCAGGGTCGAAAGACAAGTGCGTGCTTTGGCAGTATGGAGCCCATTTCCTTGTTCACGAATGATGATGAATGCGAAGGATCCTGGACAACATACCCAGGGTTATCTCCTGAGCCCCCAGACAGGAGGACCTCCACCTTGCTGCCTTTTTTGCCAGTTGTTCTGTGCAAGCCATGCAGAGGTGCAGACTGATGATGACTGTGGTGCTCAACAAAAGCCTCATGAAACCCACATGCATTTTAAGCCAAAACCGTCGATGCCTCAGACTCCCCACACAGTTCTGCTGAAACATGTAGGCTAGACCTAGGGGTTAGGAAACCAGATTCAAAGCTGGACTGCAGCAGCAAATATTCAGAGCTGAGCACCTCAGCTGAAACTGCTCCAATTGCAGTGTCTAACTCTCTGTGGTGTTGTGGGGAAAATCCACATCCAGCCTTGGAGGGGCAAGGATCACCAGTCTGAACGAAGGTGCTGCTCCAGCTCAGTGCTCTTCCCTGAACATGACCAGCTGTGCTGGCCATACTGAGCTCTCCTAAGCAGAGCTGATGGTGCCTTCACTTCACCTCCTCTTGCCCTTTTCCTGCACGAGGTCAACAGAGAAAGCCTGTTCCCTAAAATTCTCGCCATATGGGAGCATCCTGGTGCCAGGTTCTGTTCCCAAAGCTGTGTAACTGGGACTCCTTCTGCCCTCTGGACCAGGTCCTGTAGCACCTGCCACCTCCTGACCCACAGTCTGGGGGATGCTCAAAACCCAGGGTGGGATCCGCTACTGAAGGCCACCGTGTGCTCCCTCTGCTCCCTGGCGCCCGCTGTCGCAGGGAGGAAGACATCCTGAGATCCCTGAGGCTGACCAAGTGCCCACGCTGAGACAGCCCCAGCTAAGCATAGCCCTCAGGCAGAAAAGCTGCTGGGGCATGGTCTGGATCATTGCACCTCTCCGGGAAGGCCTGGGTTAAACAAGAAATAACATGTGGTTATGGGCCCAGCTCTACCATCGGCTGCAGGACTATCAGGGCTGCCCACAAGACGGAAGTTATCAGATGCACGGAAGTACTTCAGGGAGAGGGAGAGATGCCTCTCTGAACGCTGCATACCAGACTCTTATTTTCTGATTGGTTTCTGTTTCCTTCTTGCTATTACTGTCTGCTTTCTGCAGATGCTTGCCAGGTCTTTGAGATACTTTAGCAGAGCAAGCTAATAAGATTCAGCAGTATCAACAGGGTGCCTCCTCTCTGGGAGAGGAAAAAAACCCTGTATTTCCTTCTTTTATTACTTGTTTCAGGAACTGAAAACCAGAAGAGACTGGATCGTGTCTTGCACTTTGCCGCGAGACATAAAAAGCCATTCTCCTGGTATTTTGTCAGCCCTTGATTTCCTCGGGCACGTCCCTTCTTCAGAAATAAACTGGGCAGGAAGCCAGAGTACTCAGCGGTTGGTTTCGATTTAAGACGAGGCAGGACACCACCCTCCATCAGCGAAGAAGCTGCCAGAGTCAGATCTTCCCAGGGGAAGGTAACTTTCTCAGCTTTACCTTTCTGCAGGGTAGTGGTAGGACTGGAAACAGAAGGTGGAGGGGAGCAAAGTGTGTTGCAGCCACACGCAAAGGCAGGCTGCAGCGTTTCTGCCGACTGCGCTGACTTCAACATTTCGCAGATGTGACAATCCCAGGATGTAGGAAGTACGTAGCCAAATTCGTTGCTCGAGTGAAGACGCTTGCTCAACAGCAGGAGGGAATTTGGTAATTCCCTTAAAGGCAAAAGGAGATAAATGGCAAGGCAGTTACCTTAGAAGCGCCGGGACATGTATGAACTTGCTCCCTCAAATTCAGGAGGTAGAGGAAGGTCTTTCCACATTGCTGTTTGGCTATGACTTGGTAATCCAATTCATTGGTCTCTCTGTTGGTTGTTTTCATATAATGTGCTTTGTGTTTTACACAATATACAAACAAAAAAAGTTTTTCGACAATATACTTCAGGGAAGCACAGTGTCTGAAAGTTGATCAACGCATCTAAACCATGTAGCAGTTCTTGCAAGAAAAAGAGGGTGTTGACTGTGTGACCCTATTTACACAGTGCACAGGCTTTAGAAAAAAAAATTGAGGGCATGAAAGTGAGTGTGGAGCTAGCTGGAACAGACAGGGGAAGAGCAAGAGTATGACTAAAGGGGTGATTTGCCCAGAGGTGTTTTTTTGGGTCAGGATGTGGGGTGCACTTTGCTATGAAGTGCTAAGAGTGGTCTGAAACCTGCTCCCAGTGCTGGGGGTGCTGTTTCCTGAGAAAGGCTCTGTGTTTCCAACTCTCTCTGCACTGTGTGCTCTGACCATGGCAATGTTTGTGAGCTGGATTGCAGAGTTGTCCCGTTGCAGGCCTTGGCCACGCCACGATGGGCTCCCTCAGTGCAGCAAACACCAAGTTCTGCCTGGACTTCTTCAAAGAGCTGAGAAAAGTAAAAAGAAATGAAAATATCTTCTTCTCCCCACTGAGCATCTCAGCTGCCCTGAGCATGGTCCAGCTGGGTGCTGGAGGCAGCACAGCTGAAGAGATGGAAAAGGTGGGTTTCTTACCCTTTTCCTGGGAACTGCTATTAGAGGCTTACATTTGGAAATGGAAAAGAGGCAGGAGCCTTCTGGCAGTCCAGGCCATGTTCTTCACAAACAGCAAACTGAAAGATGTGGCAGCTGCAGGTCTCAAAGCTCTCCTTTCCAAACACGCTCATCTGAGTTGCAGTGCCCGTGAGGCTCCAGTGCAGCCTCAATGCATTCTTTGTGTGTTCGTTAATCTATTTACATAGATTTATATTACATTTATATCGCAGGTGCTTCATATTCATGAGGTGCTGAGCACGGCAAGTCCAGGAACCAAGAGCACCAGTGGAAAGGTGAGATAGTATCTGAACTGTGTGATAACATTGAACTGTAGCATGAAACGAAGCAGGGCAAGGCAGTCTTACCTGCTAAATGGCAGCACTCCATCCAAAAGCGTGCTAAGAGCAGAGTTCAGCCCTGTTCTCATCAAACTCTGAAACCTGCGTGCATGTGCAGAAGAGACCCTGTTGCTTTGCTGCGTAAATCGTTGCTGGATTTAAACAGGATGATCCTTTTTCAGGGTGGAAATTACAGGAGAGGAGGGAGACGAGTGTGTGACTTCAGATGATCAGGAAGCCCAGATGTATGTTTGTGTGTATTTGCATGCCCCTCGGCCCCGCCGGTGCATTTGGGGAGAGTGACCGTGATTTCAGCCTGAGGGCACACGGGTGGAGCTCCAGGGGAGAGCGTCTTGCTAAAGAAAGCTTTCCCCTGCTGCTCGCAGTGTGAAGAAGCCGGAGGAGCCCATTCTCAGTTCCAGGAGCTTTTGTCTGCCCTCGGCAAAGCTGGTGCCACGTGTTCCCTCAGCATTGCCAACAGGCTCTTTGGAGAAGTGACTTTTCAGTTCCTTCAGGTGAGTGATGACTCTTTATGGGCTTTAAACTTCTGTACTACACTTCAAACTCCTGCTAAGGACATCCAGTTGCATGTTTCTGTATTGCTGATGTGACAGAAAAGCAAGCTCTCACAGATGGGTGAAATGCGGAGTGAGCAAAGTATAAGACAGTGACCTCTGAGATTAAACAGGTGTTTGTAAAAAGTCAAGGAGAAGAGCCTACATTTCCTGAGGAGGAGATAAAAATACTTTTGAAAGACTTGGATAGCAATTTTCACCAAAATGATGTTTCTTTGTGCTTTGATATTTGTGGAATTGGCACCCTTCATCTACATTTTTTAAAATGCTGCAACAGATTTGCATCTTTGAGAAGCAGTGCAGTGCAGAGCATTTCCACAGAAATCATCATTCCGGACAAGGGAAAAAAGTCCAGTTTTCCCAGGCTGCAAACTGGGATCCTGGGGAAAGATTTCACCTCGTTTTTCTCAGCCTCTGCACAGACATGTATACACGGAGACCTGATTTTCATGGCCTGATCCCAAAGAATTCTTTCTGCAGGTTTGTGCTGTGCACAATGGGGAAAATTAAATCCTTGCATGTTATTTTTAATTTGCTGGTACTTTGAAGGGAGTGGGGCTCCACACACAGCAGGATGAGAGGCGAGGGCCAGCTTGCAACCAGGAGCAGTGGGGAGGGTGCTCTGCAAGGGCAGGGGAGTAGGGGCTGTGGGTGATGGCCAGGCTGGCAGGGTCATGCCCTGCCCTCCCCAACAGCTATCTTGCTAAAATGGTTATTGTGGTGAAAAAACGAAAGACTCTCTCACAAAGAACAGCGAGAGTAAAAGACAGCGGAGCTGGGACTCTCTTATGTGAAAGGTGTCCAGGGAACTGGTTGCTTGGCTCCTTCCCATGCCCAGAAAGTCTCTTCTGAAGAGTCACAGTGCATATGCAGGACATTAATACTGGAACAAGTAGCCCCACACAGAGCTCTGACCTACAGGTTGGCATCCATTTCTTGGACTCCTGTTTTTCTCTGTGGTCGAGTAGCTCCCTGATTACCATCATGAGAACCACCTCGCTTCCTGTTTTGCAGCAATACTTAGACTCCACAAGGGTCTTGTACCATGCAGAGCTGGAAGCGGTGGACTTTGTTAATGCTACCGAAGAGTCCAGAGAGAAGATGAATTCCTGGGTGGAAAAACAAACCGATGGTAAGGACAAGGCCTGCACTTGGCTGCCTGGGGAGTGAGCGTCAAGACCATGTGAGAAGTCATAAAATCATAGAATGGTTTGGGTTGGAAGGGACCTTAAAGATCATCTAGTTCCAACCCTCCTGCGATGGGCAGGTACACCCTCAAGTCGATAGTGAATGTCTGAGTTTCTTCCCTTTCCTGAGCGTAGCAATATTCAGACTTAATAATAGTGAATAATTTTGCTTGTGGCTCCTGTAAAAGTGGCTTGGGGCATAAGATGGCCCTGAGCTTCTGGGAACTTCGACTCTGCTAAAGCTGAGGATCAGTTCTTGCTCCAAACAGACAATTCTTCCAAGTGAGGAAGTAGTGGGATTGTCCTCAGTCAATGGTCAAAATGAAAGCATAATTCACCTTTGTCTGTTGTTTTAAAGGAAAAATTAAAGATCTGTTCCCTCCTGGCTCTATTGATAGCACAACAGTGCTAGCTCTGGTCAACGCTATACACTTCAAAGGGCAATGGGCTATAAAATTTGAGGAGAAAAACACCAGGGAAATGCCTTTCATGCTGAACAAGGTACAGTTGGGACAAGAGCTGCGATGAGCAGGGGAAAGTGGGGAAAGTCCTTGTAACCTGGGCTCTGCTGTCTGCAGGGCAAGTCTCTGCCTGGCTCAGGTGGGGGGGGGGGGGGGGTTTATCCAAGTCAAGACCCTTCACCCTGTGAAGTGAGAAAGCAGCATCCTCTTCCCAAGTACCTCTGCAACAGAGGCCATGTGAAGGCAAGCATTGGTACCTCCTTGGAGAGGCTAAGTTATAGAGGAGACTTTGCTGAGGGCACACCATCCTTTCCTGGAGGCTGTAGTGGAAGTTGGCATTATCCTTTAGGAAAGAGTTAGAGGATCAGTGCAAACTGCAGTGCAAACTACAGTGCAGAGGATAAGACTCCCTTAGAGCGACTGTTACAGCTTTCACGAAGCTTGAGCCTCTGCCAATGCCCTCAGCAAAAATTTATAGTGGTTCGAGGAGCATTCATGGAAAATGAGCAAGAAATTTCAAGCAGGTTGATTCCATGGGGTTTATTACCTGCATTATTTTGCTTGATTTTTTCCTGACTATTGATTGACTTTCTGTATTTTAGAGAGAGCACAGGGATGTACCAATGATGTGTCGGAAAGGAAAATATAAATTAATCAGGAGACAAGAAGAGCAAGTGACAGTGCTGGAGCTCCCGTACACTGGAGAAGAGCTCAGCATGTTCATTCTTCTGCCAGAAAACATCTGTGATGAGTCTACTGGCCTTGAACAGGTAACACTCCTGTCTCTGCTCCTGGGAGGAGAAACTACCCGTCCATCTAGTACTTAAACAAGATGCTTCCCAGCCGTTCAGGCCAACCTTGTATGTTTTATTGTTATGGGGTTCATCTTGCTTTCCACAGGCAGAATGCTGCTGCCTCTGTAAAGATGAGAGAGATTAATGGGTATATAAGTTACCTCAGAAGAGCAGAGAAAGACTGAGAAAACCTATTCAAAAGTGACACTTTGTAGCGTTTCCAGGGGAGTTAATGAGTATTTCAGAGGACAAAATGTAGCACTAGTGAAGGGAACGTCTTCTTTGCAAAAGTATGGAGGCATAATGCCGTATTGGTGACTGGTGAAAATCTGAACAAATGAGAAGGGTGCCTCTGAGAAGGCTGGATCTGAACTTGCCTGATTTCACACTCAATAGCTGTAGGACACAGGTTGTCTTTGTCATGAAAACCAAGCCTTTTCTTAAAGGAAAACGTTGCTGTGAGCATGTTGATCTAGTTTCTCATGACTGTGATTCCCTGTGTTTTCTCCTTGCAGCTAGAGAGTGCTGTCACCTATGAGAAATTAGCAGAATGGACCAACATGGAGAATGTGTGTCTGCAAAAGATCATGGTGTACTTGCCGCGGTTCAGAATGGAGGAGAGCTGTGAGCTCATACCAGTACTGCAGGCTCTGGGGATGAGGGATGCCTTCATCCTTGAACAAGCTGATTTCTCTGGGCTGTCGAGAGAGCCTGGGCTGTTCCTCTCCAAGGCCATTCACAAAGCCTTTGTGGAAGTCAATGAAGAAGGCACTGAGGCAGCTGCTGCTACAGGGATGACTATAGTACCATTGTGCCTTCACATTCCTTACGAGTTCAGAGTTGACCACCCATTCCTCTTCTTAATCAAACACAATCTGAGCAAGAACATTCTCTTCTTTGGCCGATGTTGTTTCCCTTAAGGGTAGAGCAGGTTCTACTTCTTTCTTCCCAAAGAGAGCACAGTACTGTGGTAGAAGGGAGTAAGGCATAAACAACATGTTGCTTTCAAGTGTCACTGGCATTTCCTGATGCCCATAATCTTGATCCCAAGAGAAAACACCAAGCTGCTTTGGCAAGACTACTGGAAAAAATTATAATGGGCCTTTCTTGTTTAGAGCTCTTTTCAAATGAGAGCACAACACTGATGGAGCTTGTTTCATTCTTATTTCATTCTTAGCCATGAAAACTCTCATTGGAGTCACATTGTCTAAACAGTTGGGTGAAGTACTGTGTAAATGAGAAGTCCAAAATGATGCCTCTGCTCTTCAGCTGTACAGCAGGGCTGGTGGTGGGGCCAGTCTCTGGAAGGTGTTGCAGACCTTCCTCCCTAGCCTCTAGGTCCCAAGCCAGAGACAGCTCAGTGCTGAACCCCTGCTTTCCTCCCACATATCTCCAGCAACCCCACCTCTAGCACCTTAACACCACCATGAGGGGACGCTCTTGGCTGCCTTGATGGCAGTCAAACCCACAAGTCATGTTCACGTCCTGAGTGCAGCTCCACACAGATGCTGGGTGTGGAGATACGTAGCTGCATTTGTTCCTCACTCTTCTCCTCAGGTACCCTCTCCAGCCCTCCCCTTTGGGAAGGACCTCTGAAGTAACAAGAGCCCTTCCCACAGGTGTAGAGACACAAAAGCTATCCCTGGCAGGGGTAGCTGGTCTTCACGTTCAGGACAGGGGAGAGAAGTCCTGTTCCTCTCTGGTGGACCCTGGGGGCTTACGGTCTTTGCCTGGCTGTGATTTGGCAGCGAGCCTTTGCAGTGTGGTGCAGCACCTCCTGAAGGAGTGCAGGCTCATCATGTTGTGCCATAGGGGGTTCCTAAGGGCACCAGAGCAGTCCCATTTCTCTGCTGTGCAAGTCCAAGCCATGAACACCTTCACAATGATGCCAGCCGTCTGTCTTACAAAGCCTGGCCAGGCTTCGGGGGAACCCAAAAGCCCTGCAGTGACGTGCTGTCTGTCCACAAAAAGTTGGCTGCACCTCCTTTGCCCTCAGCTGTGCCGTGCCTGTGCGTTGTGTCTGGGGAAAGCTGAATATTGCGTCCTTCCCTTTTTTCTCTCCTGCTGCAAGCATTATGCGTAGACACATTGTAGATCATGCGTAGACACATGGTCTGACACACTGCATGCCATGAGTGTGTGTTGTTTTCCAAAGCTTGATACATTTACAGCAATGAACTATACTTTGGAAGTCATTTTAACAATAGTAGTCCTGTTAAACTGTAGTAGTTTCCTGAACCACATCGTGTGACAGCAATAAAGGTATTCAGAGCATTTCATTGGTATGGCTTTTTGAATCCTGATTTGAAAGATGCCTTAGGTACTCAGTGCTTTTGAACATCTTGCCGAATGTCATGTCTCTTGCCTGTAGTATTTAATCCATGAACTAAAAGTACAGTGAGGTGTAATTTACCACCAGTCAGAACTTAAATGTCCTCCACCTGCATGTGTCTGACTTGCCATTCTAAAAAAAAATAACGGATGCAAAAGGGTGGTGGGTTTTTTTATTATCAGTGGGAAACCTTGAAAGAAAACTCTTCCCCAAAGCTCTGGTGTTTGACACGTGCCTGAAAAGCTGGAGGAAGGTTGTTCTAAGTCTGTAATCTCTCATCCTGCCAGTTCTACAGCTGTCTGCCTGATGAGTGGGAAATTATCTTAATAAACGATAGAGGGGTGACCACTGACGGGAAAGGCTTTCTCAGTCCAGAAATTCATAATGGATGAAAGTCCCTCTAAAGTACCATATCCCCCAAATCATATTTTCAGAATATATTAATGCGATTGTCTCATATTTGTACTGGGGTGCACTGAGGGTGACAGGACACCTCTAGCCCATACCTTTGGGGACGGAGGGGAGCAAGCAAGCGGCTGTGTGGGCATTTGGCTGCTGGATGGGATCAATCCACAACTGCAGTTTGCCAAATGTGGTAATATAAAGATGTGGTTTAGCTGCAGTTTGCCAAATGTGGTAATATAAAGAGAAGAATTTTAAAACAGCAGATATGTGCAATCTTTTTTGTTTTATTCTTCTTGTGTGGTATCCATAGGTTTTCATATACATTTTATAACATAGCATGAAATAGTGAGCTGAGTGTTTCTCATGCCAAAACCCACTTCAGGTAAGGCCTTGAATCATTAAATCTGTTTTTACTGATTTTTCAGTGATAAGAATTATTATCTAAGTGTATTTGTGCAGTTGACTCAGTTTCCTTCTGCATAGCAAAACTCATTTTCTGTCTGTGCAAGTGTGAGTGCAGTACTGCAATACATGTAGGTTTTAGTGAATATTAGTAACTCCAAAGTTTGGAAACCTGCAGTCCTGATTGCTGAGACTCACAACTGTGACAGAGAGAATGGAGCTGTACTGCCAAATTAAATTGGGTCTAATTCTGGTCTCTTCTGCCTATGCAACTTTTTGCACTTATACAGTATGCATTTCTAAGATATTAAAATATCAGTGAACTGATATCAGGGGAGTTATAATAGATTTACACCCATGTCTGAGAACAGAATTCAGTGCCCAGTCTCCAGCTGAGTTGCTCAGACACCTGTGCATACCAGGAAGAAAAAAGGGCCATCAAGAAGCCTCAGTTTAGAAATGTACCCACACGGTTGTGTCTTTCTCTGTAGCACAAAGTCAGACAAAGGGAGAATAAATTTATGAGCACATCCTGTAGCTGGTTTCCAAATACAGGTGAAAAAAAGGAACCACATCTTAAATATATAGTAAACTGCAGCTCTGCAAATGAAGACATGTAGTTGCAGGCTTTCCCCACTCTCAAATGAGAAGGCTTGCTGGCAGGATCAGAGCTTTGAAGTCACCCCACAAGCATTAAATGGTGTTCCAGCTCCTGCTTACCTCCTGTGGCTTAGTGGTAAAGTTTATCTCTGTATGAGATGGAGGTTTAGGAAAAGGGTCAAATGGTACTTTGCGCCAGCAGCAGCAGTGGTTGTGTGTGCTGCTGTACCATGGGGACACTGTTCCACTGGCCCGCAAATAGATAGTTGCGTGGGAAGTGTTGTGTCATGATTTCCCAGACACGCTTAATGTCCCTTCATTAGCACTTTGTAGTTAAGATACCTTCCTTCATCTGGAACAGTGTGTGGATAGATTTCACATGGGTGTCCCAGGTCAAATACCAAAGCTATTGGACATCATATTGTGTCAAGGCATTCTGGTTTGCATCCAATGAGCATGCAAGACCAAAATAGCAGGGACTACTTTGTATATTCTGCATGAAATAATTGTTCATGGAAGCATATTGCTTTAAAGTCACCTTTTCTCTAATATCTTATTCTGTGTAGTAAAAGTATCTTGGTTTATGAAGGTTGTTGGTCAGTGATACTGGTCACAGGTTCTGCATTAGATTATGCATAAATAAAGGCCAGACTGGTCAAATTTTATCCAGGAGAATATGAGAACAACAGCTTTATCAACAGTAAAAATCAGTGCAACTGTGAGAAAGCAGAAATGGGGAGAGATGTAGAGAACTTTATTTTCAGGACAGTTCAGCAGACCTTGGTTACACTAGGTGTGTAGATAGGGGATATGACTTGTAAAATGCTGAAATGACATATTATACAAATTCCATGGCAGGATGGGGAAAACATACCATTTGTATATCAACATTATTCCGTGGCCTGAAGAAGAGTCTTTTTGCATGGGAACAAATTCTCTTTTCACATCTCCTCTGGAGCTGAATCAGTTTGCATTGGCTGAAAATTTGACCTTGTGGTTTTAAATTATACACCTGCCAGTTCCTCACAGGGCTTGGCAGCTTGGGAAGGGTATTTCCAAATTCTTTTTTGTTTTCAAAATCTCAGTTGCTAACACTTTGTGCACAATATTGGCTATCACTTACACTCCACTTCTGGACTGCAATACATCTGATTTTGCTAGCTGTAAGGACTAGCAAGAACATCCTCACATTAACTTTTATGCTAATAACATACCAAGCAACTGCATAATTTGACTAGCTATGGAAATCACACCACAAGGATTGTCACGGGAATGGGGAAGAACAATTACTTTTAACATCCAGTCTGATGGCCAAAAGCAATACTTTTCTCCTCAGAATTGTGAAAATTATACAATGCTTTATAGGGCTGAGCAGCCCTGAGGGGCGTTTAGGTTTCTAAGTCCATAATTTGTTGAAGTAGCTCAGTAGCTAACAATACCCACAGTGTTTTGGGTAGTGTGATTAGACTAGTAATAAGTTCTTGGTCATGAGTACATCTACAGTAATTGCATTTTATGACCAGGGAGACATTCCCAAACACTAATTCTTGTGCAAAGAATAAATTGACTAATAAGCATTTGCATGACTTGGCCAGTAGCATATGTCAAAGTTTAAAGATGCCTGGATGTAACTGTTCTATTTTACAGTCAGGACGATTTAGGACAGAGATGAGTTACAACTCCAGGGATAAGGAAGCACTGAAACATACCAGAGGTTTGGAAACTGTTTAGAAGCTTCTGAAACAGGCTCAGCAAACACTGACTTTATAGTACCAACTGTAATCTAGACATCTTTGATCCTGCCGTAGGGCAGCAGATGCACTAGATAATGTCAATGTTCCTTCCGGCTACACGTTTCTGTCATTTCCAATCAAAGCTAGTTAATGGCTACACAAAGTTGCAAAAGAACAACAGAGATTTGCTCAATGTTTCTGTTCAAGTTATTATAAGATCTGTTGGTGGGAATAGATTTTTCATTCCTCTTTCATACATGTTACTCTTGGAAACTTCTTTTGCCATACAGACAGCAGATTTTATTATCAGCTGCTTCTATACTGAAACCATCACCCATCCGTTGTATTTTCTGTGGTTGGGTACCAGAGTCCCAGAGGAAGGAGTCTGCGCACCATGTAGATTATGGCCAGTGGCCGAGTGCAGATTTTGCAGTAAGCTTTTCCCATT